CTTGTACATTCCGACAAGAATAGTATTTATGAAGACTGGTTTAGTCGATGAAGCAGAAGAAATTCCCCTTACGAAAATCCTTGTCATATCACCAGGTACGTTCTTAGATGTGTCTTTCGTTTTATCATAGTTTGTGCCCTTCTGTTGGTCGAGTTGGTTTTGTTTTCATGTGATGATAGATTTATAGAAGACCTTATCAAAACAGATCACGAAAACCTTGCAAATGTTGTTTAAATTCACTTTCGGATATATTGATGACGTCTTGTCTTTAAATAACAAGATTTATTGTCCTAATCCATCGTATATACTGGCTACCAGAATTGGAAACCGAGGACACGAGAGCTTCTTCTACTGGTGTTTATCTCGATCTTTTCCTACCACGAAACCGACATGGCAGCTTTCCATCAAGCTTTATGATAATCTTGGTGATTTATGGAAGCTCTATTTCCGGATAGCTAACATCCCTGCATCTCCAACCTGTGGTGTTTACATGTGGAGTAGATATTCAAGGGCCTGTGCTCCTTTATCGCGATTTGGTCAGCTGACAGACAAACTTGTAACACAGGGTTCCAAAAGATGAAGGTTGATGAATACTATGGGAATTTAATTCGTTCCTAACAATGATAGTATTGACAAACACATATGTTGGTTCCGTTGTTGTATACCTTGTTCTCATTTGAGAACGTGACATTATTTACTTGGATTGATTGAGATAAACATGGCGGGAGCCTTCGATGAAGCAGAGGACGGTTACTCTTCCGGGACACCTAATCTTATTCTCCCTGTACTTTGTCTACTTGTAAAGCTTCCCTTTGTTCATATTTTGCTCTAGTTTTATTTAATTTGGATTATGCTTGTGTGATTTTTTTCCCTTGATGGTGGCGATAAAAATGACGAATAGACAGTGGATGTACACTTCCTGAAGTGAGAGTGTCATTCATTTGTCGAAGTATGTCTCTAGATGAAACAAGTATGTATTTCTGTTTTACGATATCAAACACTGCTCCTAGGATCTACAGGACTCGCTCCGGCACAGAAATGTGTACACAAAAATGAAAGCAATATGTTAATAATTCATTGGGTTGGTTTGGCATCTACAAAACACATCCATCATCTTTTCGTATGTGTTATAGATATACTTTTCTTCAGATGTCAGGTAAATTGATTATTTGCAAAACATAAATATATCTGTGAATATACAAGTCCCTTGATGTTTGCCTTCGACATGTTTTCGACGTAACCGACCAATAAATCCATCTCCATTTTATCTTTTTGTCGATCCTTTACTCTCCGTGGCCGCATACGATATCGTGATTATGTGACTTTCATTATTATAAGTTACACGAGGAAGTCTGATGGATTTTGGCCAGGGCGTGTCGGCACGCCATCTCAAGCCGGAGACCAGTGTTTCGGAAAACATAACGCGGTTTTCAAGTCGACTCTGTACTTTAACACGCAACAGAAATAGCAGAATAACCGTATATTGAGTCCCGATTCGATAAACTATTATACTGTATCACATGACTGCCTTTTTTCAATGGATATACCCGTGAATATTTTTGCATATCATTCGTGCTATATAGGTTATTGTGACGTCACCTTAGAAAATGAAATGACGTCACATATTTTGTGACCATAAACTTAGAGCGGACATTTTTTTTTGTTTGACATAGAAATTTCCGTTTTCTAATATATTTGCCTGAAATCGATGTGATGAAAAGGATATATGAGATCTTATACATCTATTGTATATAATGAGCTTATATTCTTGAATGAACAGATTTCTTTGATACAGATATTCTTCAAGTAAAGAAAAAATATGAATACATATGTATAAGTACTGATCCATCTAATTCCTGGTTTGTAGTGAAAACAACGGATAGTTAGACATATGACGCAGATGTAAACAACATACAACTAGACATATGACGAAAGTGTAAACAACGGACAATTAGACATATGACGAGGGGGTAAACAACGGACAACTAGACATGACGAAAGTGTAAACACGGGCAATTAGACATACGACGAGGGTGTAAACAACAGACAATTAGACATATGACGAGGGTGTAAACAACAGACAATTAGACATATGACGAAGGTGTAAACAACAGACAGATTTATGGCGAAGGTGTAAACAACAGACAATTAGATATATGGCGAAGGTGTAAACAACGAACAATTAGACATATGACACAGGTGTTTCAACGGACAATTAGACATATGACGAAGGTGTAAACAACAGACAATTAGATATATGGCGAAGGTGTAAACAACGGACAATTAGAAATATGACGAAGGTGTAAACAACAGACAAATAGATTTATGGCGAAGGTATAAACAACGAACAATTAGACATATGACAAAGGTGTTTCAACGGACAATTAGACATATGACGAAGGTGTACACAACGGACAATTAGATTTATGGCGAAGGTGTAAACAACAGACAATTAGACATATGACGCAGATGTAAACAACATACAACTAGACATATGACGAAAGTGTAAACAACGGACAATTAGACATATGACGAGGGGGTAAACAACGGACAATTAGACATATGACGAAGGTGTAAACAAAGGGCAATTAGACATACGACGAGGGTGTAAACAACAGACAATTAGACATATGACGAAGGTGTAAACAACAGACAGATTTATGGCGAAGGTGTAAACAACAGACAATTAGATATATGGCGAAGGTGTAAACAACGAACAATTAGACATATGACAAAGGTGTTTCAACGGACAAATAGACATATGACGAAGGTGTAAACAACAGACAATTAGATATATGGCGAAGGTGTAAACAACGGACAATTAGAAATATGACGAAGGTGTAAACAACAGACAATTAGACATATGACGCACATGTAAACAACATACAACTAGACATATGACGAAAGTGCAAACAACGGACAATTAGACATATGACAGGGGGTAAACAACGGACAATTAGACATATGACGAAGGTGTAAACAACAGATATATTACGAAAGTGTAAACAACGGACAATTAGACATATGACAAAGGTGTTTCAACGGACAATTAGACATATGACAAAGGTGTACACAACGGACAATTAGACATATGACGAAAGTGTAAACAACGGACAATTAGACATATGACAAAGGTGTTTCAACGGACAATTAGACATATGATGAAGGTGTAAACAACGTACAATTAGACATATGACGAAGATGCAAGGGTGTAAACAACGGACAATAAGACATATGACGAGGGTGTAAACAACGGACAATTAGACATATGACGAAGGTGTAAACAACAGATATATTACGAAAGTGTAAACAACGGACAATTAGATATATGACGAAAGTGTAAACAACGGACAATTAGACATATGACGAAGGTGTAAACAACGGACAACTAGACATATGACGAAAGTGTAAACAACAGACATATGACGAAAGTGTAAACAACAGACATTTAGACATATGACGGAGGTGTAAACTACAGACAATTAGATATATGGCGAAGGTGTAAACAACGAACAATTAGACATATGACGAAAGTGAAAACAACGAACAATTAGACATATATTTAAGGTGTCAACGATGTATAGTTAGACATATGTTGAATATGTCGTCAACAACAAAGTGTAAGCAATGGGCATATAATGAAGGTGTTTTTATTCGAGGATGAATTCATTGAAGAACTTATCAAAATAGGTCACAAAGACCTTGAAAAGTAGTTTAATTCACTTTCAGATATATTGTTGAAATCTTGTTTTTAAGTAAAAAGAAATCTATTCGCCATGTCCATTGTATAAACCCACCAGAATTGAGAATAAATACTCTTCTACATAAGCTACTTTTCTTTTCCTACAACGAAACCAGCATGTTGATGTTTTCAATTTCTCTATAATGATTTGTTCCTTTTCTAGATAGCAATATTCCTGCATCCACAACCTATGAAGTTTACATGCCTAGTTGATTAAAAATATTCAAGAACCTGTTCTCATCATCACGAATTTCGTGCAAGAAGTCTTCAACTGACGGAACATTTCAAACATAGGGTTTCAAACAATGCAGGTCGATACAAAATATGAGGGAACCTTCTATGGTCGTAAAAGTGATCTCATTGAAATTATTATATTTCCTTGTTCGATATGAAGCTGGACGTGATCGTTAGTTTGGCTGTTGGTTCCTTTGTTGTATACTTTGTTCTCATTTGAGAACATGACATTTCTATTTGAATTGATCAAGTTTTATGTGGCGCGTGTCGTCGATGAAGCAAATTTCTTTTGTTTACATTTTGTCCCAGTTTTATTGAATTCGAGTTTGGATTATGAATATGTTGACATGTTAGCATTTTTTCAAAATGTTTCTAAACGTCTATTTTCATTATCAAATACAAATCCGTTAAAAGACGAAAGTTTCAGATCATTTGTCATATTTCGCATTTTATCCCCAAAGCAGCATTTCTGCTGCAAGCAGTCTGAGGCACGATTGATGTTTCATTTTGACCCTTACTGGGAGAAAATAATCCCTTGGAAAAAGGAGCTAGATGAAGAGAGACGAGGGGCCACCACCTGCGTCATCTTTAATATGTACTGTCCGATGACGTCAGACCGATGATTTGTCTTGTTCTCGATGCTCATGTATGTTTCAGTTCAAATTTCCATGGCTTAATTTCCACGTAACCGTATGTACTAAGATATATTTTTTACGAATTTTTATCCTGTAATAAATGAAGTATTCACAAACACACGCACAGTGAGCACAGACGTACAACTGTTCTACTACCAAGAGGATTTTATAGGTTTCGACACTTCGCGTTCGATTTGTACAAACAAGTTTTCTAATTGCGCAAATATTCTTTACATACATACATACATACATACATGATATACATGCTTTATTGACAACCACAAATAATGGGCTGGGGTGTATGATTCTTGAGTACGCATGCAGGCTTGAAGCTGTAGAACACATCTCCTATTTCCTGGATATAAACGATCACTTTAGACACTAACTTTTCTGTATAATGTATACGGAGGTGAGGGATGTGATCGATATGAGATATTTCCTGTGGAATATATCGTTATATGTTTTATTTTTGATATTTGATACCATTTTGGCACTCTAGATTCTCCACCGGGACAGGAAAATATTGCTTCGTCTGTTTGTATGGTACAGAGTTTCTATCGTATAGCTGTGAGGCATGCTAACAGAGATGGGCGATCTTCGTTAGGTCGTATAAGTAATATGTGTGTACACGAATGGACCCATGTGTAAGATCTCGGCAAAGTACGCCTGTGTTCCCAAAACAACACCATTTCGTTCTAGAGTGTTGTTCCTAAGGCTGTTACAAACCACTGCTCCGTATAGGTCTCTCACAGCAGAATAACCACCTATCTGCACACACCATTTAATTATATCGAGGACTTTCTACAATGTAATTTCGTTTTGTGTGGTTACGATGCACACGAGTGCAGTTACTTCTTAATTACTTGCACTTGCTCTCATTCTCTCAAACAAATGTAAGCAGAACTTTTCAGCGTTTGTCAGAATCATTCTGACTGCTGTTTTTATAGTTTACACACTGATGTACACACACTTGGAAGCAATCTTCTGTCTATATCCTTAGTTACGTGTATCTGACAAATCTATTTCGTTTACTCGTTATTCTTTCTCAAAGTTCTGTTGTGACGTAAGCGAGCTTTGATTGGATTTACGACGACTCAGTGAATAGAAGAAGTGTCTGTTTGTGAAGCCATATCAATTGGGAGTGTTTATTAGGATTCATAGGAGTTTATCATCACTCATTACTGTCGATGTGCCTCTATTTACACTATACACCGTGTACTCAATTCAGTTTGACCTTCACGCCAAGCGGAATCATACACACACAGAAAAATACGAAACGAATCAGCTAGCAAGGACACGCGCGTGAGAGGCTATCAGACATGGAATAGCAGAAAAGGACAGTCAATATAGCAGACGAGCGTTTCGGGCCCCGTAAACCCGTCCCCACGGGCTTTGTTGCTTTATATTCAAACGGACATTTGTACCATGTCCAATTCGGAAGAGGATGGAAGCAGTCGTTTCGACAATATAGATCTAGACAGTATTCTGGGTAGAGTGGAAAGACGGGGGCCCCTTACGTTTACGAAAAAAAGGTGTTTGTACAGAGGTAAGTTTTATCGATAAAACATCTTGTACATTATAGCTTTGTATATATGGACTTGGCGGTAAAGTACGATTCTGATGGAAATAGGTGTTATGTTGTGAGCTAGTAGAAGTATACTCGACAGTTATTACAACTATGATAGAAACTGTTTCGTACAATTACGTGCTTTGCTGAAAATATTCATGATGATGTTCTAATTAAACATTAGAACGAATCTTTTTGTACCAATTTACTTTTTAACCTAATTCTACATTTACAAATTACATTTATGTCACCACTACATAATGACTTAATGAATTTTCAATTCTCTCCATTCCTCTCACCAGTATTCTCGTCAAAACAATATGCGATATGTTCACAAGCAGTGTATTTGAAATGGAATTAGAGAACGTGCTTTGTACGAGATGTCATGCTTTTATGATGTTCGTGTACGTGTAGATATTGATTCTTTTGGGGAAATAGACAAGAGTTATGTAAATCAGTGATGAATAGAATGAAATCGTATACTTTAACGTCTAGAGTAACTTCATGTAATGGTTCGTGTATCCGGATGTCGACCCTTTGGACTGCGCATGACAGGATGTTCGCGTGACGAAATAAAAACGTGATTGTTATTCTATATTGTAACATTACTTAGCCGAGAGCATATACTTATATAAGTACATATGAACTGTACAAACTAAATTAACAATGCATGGATATATAACACACTCCAAGCAGGTGGAGGTAGACTGTGCGCGTGCAGTCCAAAGGTCAGAGGTCAGATCGCGTGATGATCCAGTCTGGTTATGTTTACACTGAATAGACTTATCATATCTACAGCTTTTGAGCGAGTGGTTCTGCATTACAATGTAAATAAGATATATAAGAATGTATTACATTAATGGTTTGTTGTTTTGTAGACATGCGTTTTAATTCCATCTGTCATACGACAAGTACTTTGATTCAAATCTCGAGGCCTTGCTTGTTATAGTATAGCGTTGTATGCGAAACTTTAACAGATACACCAGTTACATGATAAAATGATATTTTGTGTTTCTAAGTGAAATAGCTCTTTTCATAGGCGTATAGTTTGCATGCATGTTTTCCCCGAGCAATAATACACTAAACAAAAGTATCCATTTTACTCGGTATAACAACTGGTATTGTCGATAGATGACTAATCAGTTTAAAATGATGCTAAAGACAATCACCTAGTAACGAGGACAAATTTCTATAGACATTATGTTAAAGTTTTAATATTCAGCATCAAATGATGTGGATGTTAAAGTAACTTGAATACAGGCCACCTTGCACTTAACGTTTAATCAACTTCGACTTTGATCTTTGACCTTTGACCTTGACAGCATTGATACTTTTAAAGTTCAAGGATAAACGTTTATGACATTACAATGTAGTTACCGTTTCTCACAAGCCTGTCCGAAATTGTTTGAGGACATTTAAACAAAAACACTATACCAAATAAATAAATAAACAAATAAACAACATACATCTCACAGTTGTATATATCTTCTCAAAGTCATAAAAAGTCATTTTAGGTAAATAATTGTCTTTGTATAAACTACCTAGAATTCCATACATTTTCTATTGGGATTTAACTTCTTATATTGATAAATCTTAGACTGGTATGCCGGAGGCAGATGCTGTGGAAGTCTGAGACGGAACAGGAGCTGTCAGAAAGACGCGATACATTAAGATTGCATTCACTTGTGTTTAGATAATAGTACACAGATGCCAGTATATTGACGTATCGAGGCATTAAGGTAACTTTGTGTAAATGTAATTGTATGGTGGGTTAAAAAGGATCTACACAGACAATCTAAACTTGTCTGCTGACTAGCGGATTGTTCGCGTCCAGGAAACAAACAGGAAATAAGCATATGATCTTCTATATGGATACAGTTGAAGCACCAGGCAAATTGGATATAATGAAAAATAACTGACGTTTCACGTGTCATATCCCTATGGTTTTATGTAACGAAGACACTGCTGGGCGCGTGGAGGTTCTTGCCCGAGGCCGACAAAAGTTAGAAGTATAAGTTTAACATAAAAATGAAGAATAAGAGTTTTAAAAATCCCTCACCTAAGAAAGAGCTTAAAAAGAAAACGAACTCTCACAAGTGATAGATTCGGCATGTATTTTACAGGTATAATCTATGTTGTATCTGAAGTTCTGTTTATTAAAGAATTATATAAGTGAAGATTTACATCTAGAATTGGATTGGGTTACCGTCTGTATAACCTCTCAGTAAAATTGTTCTTGTAGATGTATACTGTTAGTAAATATAGCGTAGATATTAACTGATGTATCACAGTCAGATGTATAAGAGAAGTGGAACACATGAAAAGGCCGAAGTGATAGAATCTCAGGCTTAGAAATGAAAAAGATTGTACAAAGTGAATATACGGGAGGAATCCACGCACACCATGCCCGTGATGATATCTTGTTTCTTATCTCTGTATCTGACAAGCCCGATTTTGCTTTAGTAATCAACCACCACACTAAGCTGTCTGAACTCAGCCGGTCTGTTGTGTAGAAGAACACAATCTGCTGCCATTGCACTGCCGTGACCTTTGGGTTTTATTGTTTTACCTCGAGTTCGAATTACCGCTAAACCATTAAACATTTACTTTTTAAGTAGGGTTCGCAATCAAACAAATTGTTTTTTTCCTGTCAAGCATGTTTCACTTGATATCATGGTAAAAGGATAGTAGTTTATCGGCCTCACGTGAGTGGGAGTGAGGTCAAGGTCATCATTCAAACTTTCAAAAATAAACATGTGAAACGATTGGATGATGGTGGAAACATGTAAACAACGATAGACGTGTGGTTATGTATTTAACTGATTATATATATATATATATTTGTACAAGAAGCTTACTAGACAGCTAGCTTGTTTATCAATTGACATGCTAGAACGTATATGTAAGTGATGATTGTTGACCTTGTCCATAGTCTCAATATTTATGTACTAGGTCACAGGACACTTAACTTTGTAACAATGGAATTTAAAATGTATTATTTGGTGCTTTAAACTGCTTAAGGGCCTTGTCCATAAAGAGAGAAATTAACATTCTCTGGTCCCTCTTTAATGCGTCCTATTTCAAGGTCAAGGAAGGTCAATACCACATAAATGGCCATTTAGTTAAGTGAACCATTATATGACGATATTGTATAACAATTGGGATGACAGGCTTTGTACATTTTATAAGCTTTGTATACGAGGGTCTATTATAGTTTTGATAAGAACGACCCCGCCACCTTGCACGACGATTTATTACCGAACAAACCACGCGAGAAATCTCATACCAGGTTCCTTTCATTCTCTTTAGAGAACGTCAGAGGTCACGGTTGCTTGATCCAAGTTAAAATCCTCAATTTCGATGTATGATCTAGTGGTGGTTCCTCAAATATAAACATGAATATCTGTCAATGCACGTGTTTAACCTGTTGAGAAGCACACCTGCACAAAGCTAATTGATTTCTGATGAGTCCTAATTTTAGATATGACCGCCTTCAGCGAGGTGTGTGTACATATGTACTCTTGGTACATCTACAACACGCGGTCCTCAGCACGTGTTTTACATCTGGTAATACAGAACTAGGTCATACGCGTGCTTTACGTGTTAATAAGAAGAGTTTCCCACAATGTTTGAAGTTTAATAGCAAAATTCATCATACATTAAGTTGTTGAATTTAGCCGAACTATCGATTGTAGTTAGATATGTCAATCTGCACTGATCTCTGGAAATCGTACAGCGACATGTGATGTATTTGTTCATGGTGATAAGGTACTTCAGTTTCTCTGTAAACTATTTATATATGATAAGGTCAGCGAGGCGTCGTGTCCTCGTGCACCTCTACATTGATTGTTTTATCACGTGAGCGTCACTGTCGTTTATTTTTCTGTTGGTAATTTATTGTGGGAAATAAAGTTTTAGCATTTCCTGGATTCTGTGCTATCATACACGGAAACAGCACCACAGATCAAATGACAAAGGAGGAAAACTATTAAACTCTCCGTGATATGATCTTTTAAAATGCCACCATCACAAGACACACGGGACTCTATTACAGAATATAACAAAATGCTTGAGTACCGCCACTCCTTCCTCTACCATCATACCCCGCCCCTCCCCTACAATCAGACCACCGGCCTGTCCCCAACTATCAATAAACTACCGCCTCTCCGCTACTATCATACCGCCGGCCCGTCCTCTACTATCATACCCCGCCCCTCCCCTACAATCAGACCACCGGCCTGTCCCCAACTATCAACAAACTCCTGTCTCACCGCTACTATCATACCGCCGGCCTGTCCTCTACTATCATACCCTGCCCCTCCTCTACGATCAGACCACCGGCCTGTCCCCAACTATCAACATACTAACGCCTCACCGCTACTATCATACCGCCGGCCCGTCCTCTACTATCATACCCCGCCCCTCCCCTACAATCAGACCACCGGCCTGTCCCCAACTATCAACAAACTCCCGTCTGTCCTCTACTATCATACCCCGCCCCTCCCCTACAATCAGACCACCGGCCTGCCCCCAACTATCAACAAACTCCCGCCTCATCGCTACTATCATACCGCCGGCCCGTCCTCTACTATCATACCCCGCCCCTCCTCTACAATCAGACCACCGGCCTGTCCCAAACTATCAATAAACTACCGCCTCTCCACTACTATCATACCGCCGGCCCGTCCTCTACTATCATACCCCGCCCCTCCCCTACAATCAGACCACCGGCCTGTTCCCAACTATCAACATACTCCCGCCTCATCGCTACTATCATACCGCCGGCCCGTCCTCTACTACCATACCCCGCCCCTCCCCAACAATCAGACCACCGGCCTGTCCCCAACTATCAACAAACCCCCGCCTCACCGCTACTATCATACCGCCGGCCCGTCCTCTACTATCAACCCCGCCCCTCCCCTACAATCAGACCACCGGCCTGTCCCCAACTATCAACATACTCCCGCCTCACCGCTACT